TTCGTAGCTCCGCAGTCCGCCTCTTCTCGACAGCCGGATTTTGGCCGACGGTAAACAATTCGCTTCCTTAGCCCGCCTCTTCACCTCCTACCTTGAAGACTCGGCGCGTTGCCGCGACTCCTGATTTTGGCTCGCCCTTATGCGCGATCTCGGAGCGTCGGCTTTACTGCTGCAGAGGGGACTGAACACAACCTAGGCGGTGCCGATAGTGGCTCCTCGATAGCCGTCAAAGGACAAAAGCAAGGCGAGTCCACCGGGGTCCGGTTGCATATACGGCGTCTTCAGTTCCTCCACCTGGCGGTTAGTACTCCGTTTGCTTCTCGCCCGCCATCCGGAGCGGGGCTATACACGTAAAGGGGACGCGGGGCTTGCCTCGACAATCCCCGCGCGTCCGCGGTGCGCGTTCTCCGCTGTATCACGAACCAAAAAAACTTGCCGTTTTAAATATGCGCTTCCGGGGAGCCATCCTACCCGCAATAGGGCCTTCTCGGAGGCAATCGCCCTTGTGACGGGCGCTTCAAGCTGCCACGTCACAATATATATTTACGTGTACATTAATATATTATAACAAATAATATTACTTCCTCAATGTAGATGGCATTTTTTCATTAATTTCATCTTCTGTTCTTAACCTTTTTCTATATATTATCCTCGTTTTATGTAACCTCTCTCTAACGGAATATGTATATTATGTGGATTCTGAAAATCTTCGGAGAATATCTCGACTTTTCCGAGCTTTCTCAGAATATACATCCATTAGAGTAATTTCAATTCAGGATGATTGTCTTCATATTTATACTGAAATTATAATATATTATCAATATATATCAGATCAAGTCATAAATATCTTACGTTTTTTATCAGACATTTATTTTGCTTTCATTAAATAACAAAATTATACTAATTTATTGTGTATTCACCACTATTATGTATGACCTCCCATCTTCCTGACAGTTTCTCAATTCCTTCCGTGTAAAATCTGGTTGGTTTGGACTGGAAAAATTTTCGACAGCTTGACTGACTTGCTCTTCAGAATTAAATTTCCATTCAAAAAGTTTTGTAAGGAACAGAAAATATGGTAGTCTGTCGGGGCAAGGTCCGGGGAATAAAGTGGATGTGGTAAAACAGATCATCCAAGCTCAAGAATTTTTTCTTGAGTCAACCTTGCTGTATGTGGTCTCGCATTGTCATCTAGAAGAATGACGTTTTTGCGATTGACGAGTGCAGGACGCTTTTCATGGAATTTCTCTTTCACTTTTTGCAGCTGTTGAACGTATGTATCCGCAGTAATCGTTAAATTTGACTTCAACAACTCGTGATGAATTATATCTCGATAATCCCACCGTGCATACAATAAAATCTTTTTTCCATGTATGTTTATTTTCGGATCTAGTAGGGATCGCTTATCAAGCCATTGTTTTTTATTGACGATATTGTCATAGGTAACCCATTTTTCATCGCCTGTTATAATCCTGTCTAAAAAAAGCTAGATTTTTACCCGTGAGAGCACACTTGTGGCGATTGACAGGCGATCTTCTTTCCGTTCACTGAGATTGTGAGGTACCCAAACTCCTAACTTGCTAACTTTCTTTAATTTCTCCAAATGGCGACAAACAGTTTATTGTTATGTATTCAACCTTTCTGCTATATCTTTTGCTGATTAACGTGGATTTTGCCCCAATATTGCTTTTAAAACGCTGTCGTCAAAGTCGGAAGGACATCACGCCCTCGGTTCGTCTTTTAAAGTCGTATCTCCAGAACGGAATTTGGCCAACCAATTTTTCACTGCCCGATTGGTTATTAATCCTTTACCGTATACAGTGTATATTTTTTTAGCTGTCGCTTTAGCACTATTGCCTTGTTTAAATTCCCAAAGCATCACGTGACGAAAATTTTTCACTCTCCATTTTAAGGATTAGGAACAACAGTTTAATGTAACGTGCACCACACAAAACAGTTGTCAGAAGACTAACTGGACCTTTATCTATTTAGTGAAAGCAGAAACTCGTTTCTCCCAGTGACTCATAGTGGGCAGATACGGCCAATAGATTCTACTTAGCTGCATCGGAACTTACTTATGACTCGACCTAATACTTCTTCTCTTAATCCTCTTCTGTTCAATATCGTATGTTTGAAGTTTATTTTCTATTTGTCGTGATAATTAATCAATGAAATAAACGATTATTTAAAATCACAGAATAAAAACCGAAATAGTGAACCGATGGAATCGCAAGCTGAAAAAATGTAACGGTTCCGATTTCGGTTCCGGTTCTGTAGTCTTTATAAAATTTTGATTTACGGTTTACGGTTTCGGTTCGACAAAAATACCGGTTTCTATACGATTTTCGGTTTCGGTTCCGGTCCGTTCCTGGTCCTAGATTTGAAACTGTCGCTTCTGCACAGAACTTCTTATATACAGTCTGTAGTTCTGGTAGAGAATATTTCTTGCAGATGTGAATGAGACACCTTCTGGGTTATTTCTGGAAACCTTTGGGGATTATCTAGACTCTTTTGAAATTGGACATCTGAAGTTGTCTGGACTCAGATAATAATAATATATATGTAAGAATTTAGAAACAAGTATTTATAATTTTTTAAGTTATAAATGACTGTGCATTAGTGCCTATAGATATGGATGATGATAATGATATTCTTATTTTATCAGTTTTACAATTATGCCTATTGGTTTTGTATGTAGAAACAAACCTAAAAAAGAAATATAATCGAAAATAGTAGGTGAGGACCATTAATATGAAACGTCCCTTATATAGAGATTATGATCACCTCTTTTAAAAAATGAAATATAATGATATATTAAGTGTACAAATTAATTCGGTTTTCTTTTATGAAATTCAAAATTTATTTGTAAAAAATTAAGTACGAGTTTAATATTTGAAATAATTTCCATTATTTTCTATGACTTTACTCCATCTACCGGGTAGCTGATGAATGCCCTTGCGGAAAAAACTTGGCGGTTTTGACTTAATAAAGTCATCAATAATCGAACTCGGGACCGCTGGCATAGTAGTACCAGTGCGCTATCTACTATATCACGCTTGCTCTCTTTAAATCACCATAGGACGGGAAAAAATTTTTAATTTGAACTAGAGTTACAGGACATTAAATGTAAAGGTACCGAATTAATTTGTACATCTAATAGATCTATTTTTTCGATATATCAGAATGAGAGAAGAAACTTTCAGGCTTTTGTCAGAAAAAGCAAAACCATATTTAACAAAATCAAATAAAAAAACATATAGTCCAGAGTAACGACTTATTATAACTCTAAAGTAGTTACTTATTTTGTTATAAACTATTCAATTTACATGAATTAAATACATTTTTTGCAGGTATTCAGCAACCGGGGATCAAATATTATCACTAGCACTGGTTTTCAGATGTGAAGGGTTAATGGTTCGAAAAATCATCCATGGAATTTTTAAAGTGATAACTCAGATATTGCAGCCGACTTATGTTTGCTTGCCAAAAGAAGAATGGAAAAATATTTGTAGCGGTTTCTTGAAAAATTGGAATTCCCATAATTGCGCCGAATCCTTTGATGGAAAACATGTAGAAATACAATGTCCACAAAAATCCAGAAGTTTATTCTTTATATTATTATTATTTAATTACAAAGACATTCAGCATTGTGCTTGTGGCTGTGCGCGATTATAAATATAACTTTACATTAGTTGACATAGGCTCGTATAGTGGAAATAGTGATGGTGATATTTTTACCTTTTCTGGTATTTATTCGGCATTGGAAGAAGAAACACTGAATCTTCCCAAAGGTACTGTAAATCTTCTTGGAAGTAATGTTAGATTATCTTGCTTTTTTCTCGGTGATAGTTTCCTACTCAGTACATTCATGATGCGACCTTACTCCGGAAATTTATTTGAAAAAAGGAAAAAAAATATTCAATTACAAGTTAGCAGTTAGCCTATTATTTTTATTACAACATCCTATTATTTTAATTTATTGTAATTTTATCACGCATTTGATTGATTTTCAGATTAAACTCAGCAAGGCGTACCATCAAAAATATATTTGGTATTTTGTTACAGTTTCTGTTAGTCTTTTTGTTATTTTTTCGGTTTTTTTTTGTTTTTGTTGTTTTCGGTTTTTGTTAGTGTTTTTGTTATTGTTTTTGATATTTTGTCGTATTTTGATATTGTCAAGATGGAAAATCTATCGAATGCCAATTTACATGCATCCAAAATATGTTGACATGATTGTCATGATGACTGTATGTCTGCATAATTACTTACACTATTATATTGGGTTGCCCGAAAAGTAATTGCCGATGGCTCCAATAGATGGCTTTAAGCGTCTGTTTGAATGTCTTCTGTCAATGTTATGATTTTTTTCTTTTGACGTTTGTAAGCTGTCACTCTTAGTTGACTTTAGAAGCAAATTACACGTGTTTTTGTTAAAAATTGTTAGTTTGGCTTCAGTTTTAGTATGGAGTCCAATAACGAGCATTTTCGTAATATTTTACTTTTATATTTCCGCAAAGGAAAAAACGCAGCGCAGGCTGCTAAAAAGTTACGTGACGTATATGGCGAGGAAGCCTTAAAAGAAAGACAGTGCCGCAATTGGTTTGATAAGTTCCGTTCTGGAGATTTTTCACTCAAAGATGAGCAACGTTCAGGTCGGCCATTGCAAGCTGATGATGACCAAATCAAAACTATAATCGAGTTGGATCGTCATATATCTGAGCGGGAGATTGGAGAGAAGTTGAAAATACCAAAATCAACAATTCACGATCATACAGGGTGCGGCGAAAGGTATGCCCTCATTTTGGAGAGCAATCAATAAAATATTATTAAATGTAGAGGATTGGAAATTTTTTTATTACCTTTGGTACTTCAAACAGTTTTTTTACATTAACGTTTAAAAACGATATCTGCAAGATGGCGGCCTCCAGTAGCAATGCACTGATGTAGCCGATTTTGGAAGCTTCGGGCTGCGTTTTGGCACATCTGAATCGGAATGGCGTTCACCTCTTTGATGATTCTCCTTTTTAGTTCTTGTAGGGTATGGGGACGATGCTTGAAAACTTTTTCTTTCAGATACCCCCACAAGAAAAAGTCACAAATGCTCAAATCGGGCGATCTTGCTGGCCACCCCAAATCACCCCTCAGAGAGACGAGTCGAGTAGGGAACATTTGCCTCAGTTTCGCCATAGAAATGCGGGCTGTATGCGCTGTTGCTCCATCTTGTTGAAACCAAATCTCCCCCAGATTTGTCTGTTCACTCAACTCCTGCAATTTAGGCTCAAAAAAGTTTTCCAGCATGAAAACATAACGTTGAGCTGTAACTGTAACAGNACTAACTGCACGTTCTCTGGTGTTGTTGCAATTCTGGGTCTTCCAACTGCATGAGTTCTTACTGTGGATCCGGTTTCTTCCAATGAAGAAACCCAACGTTTGATTGTTTTTCCATCAGGTACGGAAACATGGCGCGGAATATGGAATCGCAAGCGCATTGCTCTCTGCGTCGCAATGACTGAACGGCCATTTTCCAAAAAAGAGCGCACAGCGAATCCACGATGTTCTCCAGTCCAAATCATGATGTTAACTGAAAACGGTTGAGAACAACCTTCCTAATGAGACCCTGCCCAACAACCTACTCACGCCATCTGGTGAGCAACGGATTTTTCAAACTCGGGCAAACCTTTCGCCGCACCCTGTATAAAACGTCTTGGATTCGTTAAAAAGCTTGATATTTGGGTATCACATGAATTGAAAGAAACTCATTTAACAAAGCGTGTCAATGCTTGCGATTCTCATCTCAAACGCAATGAATTCGATCCTTTCTTGAAGTGAATAATTACTGGTGATGAAAAATGGATTGTTTACGATAATAATAAGCGAAAACGTTCATGGTCCAAACGTGATGAGCCACCACAAACCACCTTGAAAGCTAATATTCACCAAAAGAAGATTTTGCTATCAATTTGGTGGGATTGGAAGGGTGTGGAATTTTTTCGGCTCCTTCCAAGGAACCGAACCATCAATACGGATGTCTACTGTCAGCAACTGGACAAACTGAATGCAGCGATTAAAGAAAAACGGCCAGAATTGGTCAATCGTAAGGGCGTCATCTTCCACCAGGACAACGTTAGGCCACACATATCTTTGGTCACTCGCCAAAAATTAATGGAGCTTGGTTGGTAATTGATGTTACATCCACCATATAGCCCTGACATTGCGCCGTCAGATTACGATTTATTTCGATCCTTGCAGAATTACTTGGATGGTAAAACTTTTAAGGATGATGAAGCTGTAAAATCGCACTTGGATCAATTTTTTGCCGATAGAAACCAGAAGTTCTACGAGCATGGAATTATGAAGTTGCCAGAAAGATGGCAAAAGGTCATCGAACAAAATGGAAAATATGTCAGTGATTAAAGTTCATTCTATGCACAAAAAAAATTGTATTTTATTTCTATGAAAAAATCGGCAATTACTTTTCGGGCAACCCANTTTGGCAATTACTTTTCGGGCAACCCAATATTTGAGGCAGAATTGACGCAGACACAGGATAGAATATATTGTCCTTCGCATTTTATAAATTCAGAGGATTTTGATAGGAACATAATACTTGGAGAGTGGCGATTATATGGTGAAAACGCATTTAGCGATATATATTCTATTTCCAAACATAATGCAATTGCAACAGCATACAAACAAGACAAATTGGCAGACTATTTCTTGACATCACCTAGTGAAGTTCCGTGGTAATGTGCATATACCAGATGTAGGAGTATGAAACCGGAATTTCCCTATAGATGGTGCTAGCCATTAGTTTAGGGACCGTAAGACCGCTTCTGCAGCGCCATCATCTTCCTCTAACAGCTGACGAAGATTTTCAACACACAACAACCCAAGTTCCATACACCGGTATATTTTTCTATAACCTTAAACATGTCGAGTTTTGTGCGTACGAACTACGATTTGCGGACAGCA